GCCTTGATGTTGTCTTTAGGACTTTGCAGATCTGTACTTCAAATACATTTCATCATGGGAGCCATTCTCTACAGAACTATTTTTAAACACTTACATCTTCTAAAGTGGGTTGTATTTTTTTGTGTTTTGCTCAATGTTTAGATCATTTTCAGAGGACTGCATGTGAAGATAATTTAGGTGTCGAGGTTCATATTTAATGTTTGCAGCCCTACAGTCTCGATCATTTCCATTTTCATCTTTTACCAAGCTAGGTAAGAAAATTGCTTGAAAACTGCCTGGCTGGCCTGCCATTGTTAGCATTTTAAAAAAGGTGGTTCCAGCTAAAAACAGTCAATTCAAATTCTTAAATTAATAATAAAATACATCCGAAATACCTTTATCAAGTTGTTTTAGGCAGTCTTCAGGGGCAGCATGCCATCTTACATGACTGCCATGGCACTGAGTGCCATTGAATACCAACTTGATGCCATGGCATCCAATGCCCTGGCTCCTTATGAAAGCCCGAAGGGCATCCTCTTGTCCACCTCGGTTTATAAACTGAAGCATCTCTCCAACTTTGAGAGCAAATGCTTCACCACAAGAGCACTTGTACAAAAAAAAGAGAAGACAGGTTTTTTTGCATTAATTGTTCTTTTGCAGCTGCTTAAGCTTGCAAACAAAAATTGTGATCATCTCCATATTTCCACTTCAACATGGTATATTGAGGTAATCGATCTAGACAACGCATGTATTTGATCACACTACCTTATCTGGGTTGGTGGCGGCTTGGACAGCTACCTCTTGATTTAAAATATATATAAAATAATTATTTTAGGTTGAATAAACAGAAGAAGGTGCAAACTTTTCTCGTAGGAGGTCTTTAATTCAGTGGACGTTTCGCCCATTTGGGCTTCTTCAACACTAAGAATATCAATACTCGGAATAAAATTTACAAAAATGAAAAAGCCTTAGATAAGTTACAAAACAATAACTTACAAAGAGAACAAAGAAATAAAATTTTTACATAAGATTACATAAGAATTACGTAATAATAAAAATAGCAAAACATCTGCTAAAAAGCAAATAAAACCAAATAAAATACAGCGGCAAGATGGTGTTAATTGTAGCGAATCCTATTCCTGGAATTAAACTCGCACCTTTTGTTGAGTCCATGAGGTGTGAGGGTGCATAATTGAGCACACCAA